ATTTAGCCACTAAACAGAATTTAAGTGAATGCATTATACAAAAAATACATTCCATCTAGAGAAAGGGCTGCTGCTGTTAGAAAGGTTTAAATACTCCAACAAAATGTACCTATACAGCAAAATCATGGACTTCAGTTGTAAGATTTTTTTAAAAATTCTACTTAGTTATATTATTATTATTATGTTTATTATTATTTGTTATGACTATATTTCTCAATAGTATAAAAAACTGCAGCTGGCTTTAATAATGTGTAATAAGCAAGTACCACATTCCTTTTCTACCTATTATAACAGAAGTTACTAGCTGTACTTTAGTATAATTGGACTTTTTATCATTAAGTAAAACACAGATACTGCGGGGAAATACAGTTATATTTAAGCATACTTAAGTTTCCCAACACGCAGAGATTAGTGGAATAAACAAATTGCACAGGGATGCTAAGTTCTTGTTCCCACTAATTGAAGATTATGTTTTCAAGAGGAAAAACTCAGCATCAGACATCTTTCCAGGGGATGCATTCTAGCCTTATTGCTAAAAATAGCTAGAGTGTAAGTCAGCTTACATGCCATATTCTAAGAGGACTGCATCACTGCTGACTATATTATAAATGGTTATATCTGGAGAGTTTATATTGCTGCCAGCATGTGGAAACAAGACATGCTCACCAAAAAAACTAAGCAGCAATACTTCAGAAAACACACACATATGGAAAGTATCAAGAGTAAATTAGATAATACAGCAAAAAGCAGAATTAAAAGAAAAATGCTGACATTTTAAGTAATTCACTTAACTCATACAAGGAAATCCATTTGTTTTCACATTTTAAATACTGTTATTTCAAAACCACAAAGGGATATTTAATAGTCTTTAAAAAATAATTTCATTGTCGAAATACTTTATTCTTCTTCAGGCTTTATAAAGATTTCCTTATTTTACACATTGGTTTCGCAACCTAAGTTGATGCATGTCCTTTAGGCTATCGTACAGTATTTATGGCAGAACGTGTAATATTGCACAGAAACTTTCTGGCAGCACTTCCAAAACGCTGACTAGCAAGCAAAAGTTTCAGCATCTAAACTTAAAACAACTCAGATGCTATTTCTTTTCCTCTCCTTCCTAAAGTTACTACAGCATCACTTCCCTATGGCTCGAACCACTTTCCCTTTGCTGCCTTGCCCAGCCAAGTGTTTTGGACAAAAAAGCATTCCTAATCAGCAGATTACAGGTAAAATAAGATTATTATGGTAAAGTACTGGTTGAAACAAAGATAGAATTGAGGTGCTCCATTAAGAGCCCAAAACCCTCTTCAGTTTGTTAGCTCAATATTGATTTAAAGCAAGTAATGAATTTTAAAACATACAAAGCTAAGACAAATAAGCATCCAGTGTGGATATTTTTCCAAGACACTCCTACATGCTGTCTCCCAACATCATCTCCTCATCAGACTAAGTGTTTTTTGACGATACAGAATAAAATTTAATGTTTCCTAATTCTCACAGAAAAATCAGAAAGACATTAAAATAGTCTGCTAGATTTTCCCTGTGTGTTTATAATACGATCAACTTGGCTTGCAAGCAAACTTATGTAGAAGTGCTTAATGCTGGTAGTATCTTAAACATTCTTGTGTCAACCTTTGCAAACCAGAATTTTTCTTCCTCTTCAGTAACTTTGTATTTCAGCTTCTTTCCAAATCGTATCGTAGCCAAGTCTACTAGTTTTAGCTCCTCCTACCAGCACATGCGGACATGAATTCAGTCATGTCAGACAGACACACACGTATCTCAAAGACTTCTAGACTACCGAGATAGTTTCCTCCATAATAGGCCAAGCCTACTAGGGCAGAAGCTCGCCGAAATGCAAGATTCACCCCATTTCCTTTAGATAAACCACTAAGCCACATTTCACAATATTCACACTGGAAATTTTCTAAGACGACCATGTCCTGAATCAGGGTATCTCTCTACGGAAAGTTCCATTTAAAAGGAAGTTATAAGTGCAAGTTTGAGGCACAGGGATGTTGGACTACCTTCAAGCTTATGACCCTGTTGGCCTTATTACAGCCACAATACAGCAATCCTGGGCTTTTTTTTGTTAGTAACAATGAGAAGATAAGTATGACAACAGGCTTCCCGGTATTCTTCTCCAAGCATACTGTATAGCCTTGCATCAATGCATCAATCTTCTAGTAAAAGAGAGTTATCCCATTTTAAACATGCCCAGTTAGCCCTCTTTCAATCAAGGACAGAGTTTACATGTTTTCCTAAATCCCCAGCTCTCCCCAGAAGTTGCTAGTTACACAGAAGTTCAGTAATCTTTTCAGCAGCGCTACTTAAAATAAAAATTCTCCAAGTTCCTTCATCTTACCAACATCACTGTTTGCCAGAAGACCAAGAGGGTCCACGTCCTTCACGTATGGCTGAGCTGCCAAAGCACGCTGTTTTTCATGTTCCTTTTCACACATGCTGTTTTCTGGTCCATTGGCTTCATTTTGAGTTCTACGTACATTACAGTCGCCACTATTTTTCCTAAATTTCTTCCAGAATGGGCGCCTTTGTCTTCTCCTCTGTCTTCCTTGCTGCCCAAACCTCTCTTCATTTTCTGGAGGTTTCCACATCCCCTTCATTTTGCTGGGGAATAGAAACACAAAGCTCATACAAATGACAAGCTATGAGAATAAAATCAATTGACGTAACCAAACGGCTCAGGCCCACATTTAAGGTTCAGCAATACAGCACGATGCCAGGACTTACTCCAGCTCAGCTAACATGTGGTGACAGACCACAGAGGTAGTCACAGCTCATCTCATTGGCAGGGCAATGTGACAAAGATGGAACCTAAATGAAGAGTTTGAAGTTCATGAGTTTTATCTTTTGACAAGGCAAAGGGCTAAGCAAGTTTCTTACTGTCTACAGTGTGAGGATGTAGTGTTTTCATTTCACATTACAAAGCCAACAAATATTCCCTTCACTTAATCAATGAAGTCATTCAAAAACGGGGGAACATGGAATTAAAAGAGAATAATCTGCTATAAGCATACTTCCACTGCTGAAGTCTCCTTTTTCCAGTTACAGCTCAGAGAAGGATCTTGCTGCACTAAATCCATTCAGTCATCTGACACCATCAATTGCAATAACAACTGCCTTCTCCTGCCTCCAACTAACATGACGTTAATTCTTTTTCACTCAGATGGAACAGGAAGAAAAGCAACTTCTATCAGGGCAAAGGATTTTAAAAAACCCGAAACAAGCCCTAAATTATGGAAAGAGCATGGCATGCTGATTCCACTAGTCTTCCAGGTTATCTTACAAACAAAAAACATGTTTATAGGAAGGTACCTGGAGAACCTAACAAAGTCAACATTTATAGATACAAGAATAGGTATGACCCAGATAGAAAAGCAAATATAGAGGTGACAACATAAGCTTCCTGAAAATACTTATTTTCAAGCAATAGAAACTTAATTCAGCAAAACAAGACTGCAACTAATCATCAGCACATTACAATCACAAAAGACATACAAGATCTACCATCCTGAAGGAGCCCCATGGTTCGTTTTACTCTGTATTCTCTCCCTCAGCCTCACTTACAGCATGGCATGCTTTATATCGCAACAAAACATATTTCATTTCATTCTCCAGTCATTTCACAACAGTGTCTAACACTGATTGCTCAGCCCTGATAGCGTCATCCACCATAGCGCTCCTGTGGCACAAGAGACAAGCCACCACCTTCCTGTGCATCAGTCTCTCATCCACAAAAGAAGGCAAATATTAGCTCCCATAATTCAACTCCATCCAGACAGAGAACTGCGTTTCTGGATCTGTACAACCAGCCTCTAAATTCAGGATATTGTTGTATAACCTAGAATATATTGAGCAAATACAGGCTCAATTAGAGGTCTGTCCTTGACCAAGGGTTAAAAACAACATTCTGATTTCCCTGGGGCCTCAAACACCCAGAAAGAAACCCCAAGGTCACAAACACATCCCAACAAACGTCAACCTGGCATCTGCCTTCTGCCTTCCCCTCATGAAAGATGTACCCTTCACTTCCCGTTCAGAGGCGATAAAGAGCCATGCGCTATTAATCACCTGTTGCAAGACACCACACAGACTGCCAAAGTGGTCCTTCTGCATCTCTAATCTCACACTCAGGGATGCTGAGAATTAGCAGTTGTAAAGCACTTCAGAGAACCACAAATGGAAAGCGCTGTAGAAGTGTTAAGTATCTAATCCCTTCTAAATCTTACTTAGCCATTTGCTTTAATAGTACAGCTTGCAGAGAACAAGCTGTATTCTATTTTTGCCTCATGCATCAGTAAATTTGCCAGATAAGCTCCAATTCCAGAATCTTTACTGTTGATACGCAAAGCAGAAATGACAGCTTTTTGGACAGTCCATCAAGCCTACAGTGCTAGCAGTTCAGGGAAGGGAGGGGAAAAAAAGAATAGATTTCTAAAATCAACAAGAGTTAAAGGTCACTAAGTGAAATCAAACTGCAAACAACCTCTAGCCCTAGTTTTGAGGGCTTTGTTTTTCCCAAACATTTTTTCAGATACAAAGTTACTAACACATGTAATAGATAAGTGTGGAATTGCTGATGGACATTTAAGACTACATAATGCACCCAACTCACAGCTGCAACAGTTACCAAATAAACCTGTAGACACCAAACAGTTTGTTACTGTGACAAGCAAAACTCATCTTTGCTGGTAAGAACCTCCAAACATAATTCCGTATGTTTGCGGCTTTAGTCTCAATGCCTAGGTTTGGTTCTTTGGGTCCAAACCACTTCTGCAACTTTGTATCTTTCAAAGGAAGTTTCTACTCTAGTCTTTTATAAACCCTTCCTTCCAAAGTCACAAAGGGCAACTGGCTGGAGGGGGTGGGCAAGTGTTGGGTCTTCTGAAGCACATGCTGCACCAAGGTAATTTGCACTATCACCATTTAACAAATCACACTAGCCTGGCATGAACCCTATTCTGCAGTAGTTCAACCACTTTACCATGGTGCAAGTTTTATTTTATTTGGCGTCATTCCCTATTTTAAAAAAACAAACAAACAAAAAAAAAACCCAAAAACAAACAAAAAAAGGCAGACAAGCTCCAGCTTCACTTCCATGGAGCAGCAAGTGGGATTTAGCAAGAGTCCCGTAGAAGTGGGTCTGCTCCTGCCTTCCAGCTCAGTCGTTTTCTTTTAAACAGGTGATATTCTGGGGGCATAGATCATTATAATATTTTTTAAGTCTTCCCACAGGCCCTAAAGTAGAGCTAATGAAGTTAGCTGGTTCCACATAACACTGACACTGAGGAAAGGAGAAAAGAACAAAGATCATACTAGAAAGTAGTTCACAATATAAGGGAGAGAACAGCTAAAAATCCAACAGGATTAAGTATCAGGCCAAGAACAAAGGTAGCAGACAGATAAAGATGATGGAGGATAGAAGAAAGAAGTAGCACTACTTAAGCTATGAAAATAAAGTTAAATCTTCCTCCCCTCTTCACTTGATTATTGATTTATCATCTGAAAGGAGAGATTAAGAAGCCAAATCTGCTCATAAAATCTCTCTTGGCCATTTTCAGGCATTAAAGGATTAGACCATGTGGATTCATTACGTTGCGGGACTTCCGTCCCTGATCATTTCTTTTTCAGAGACCAAGGTTACGCTGATCTAATGAGTGGCCACTAGACTGTGGTTTTCTCAAACAAGCCAGAGTGCAGAATTCAGCATGAACATCAGATTTCTAATACAATTATTGTTTAATTTCATAGAATCATAGAATAGTTGGTCATCTAGTCCAACCCCCCTGCAATGAGCAGGGACATCTTCAACTAGATCAGGCTGCTCAGAGCCAATTTTACTGAATAATTTTACTGAATAATTTTACTGAATAATTTTACTGAATAATTTTACTGAATAATTTTACTGAATAATTTTACTGAATAATTTTACTGAATAATTTTACTGAATAATTTTACTGAATAATTTTACTGAATAATTTTACTGAATAATTTTACTGAATAATTTTACTGAATAATTTTACTGAATAATTTTACTGAATAATTTTACTGAATAATTTTACTGAATAATTTTACTGAATAATTTTACTGAATAATTTTACTGAATAATTTTACTGAATAATTTTACTGAATAATTTTACTGAATAATTTTACTGAATAATTTTACTGAAGTGGACTATGAAGCACTGTAAACAAAGGAACACTACGTCTGCAGTTTGTCAAATGACCTGTCCTCCATTAAAGGGCAGCTAGTTCGTGTGTACAGTAGAGGCAGCAAGTGTTGGGAGACCACAGTAAGACACCGTATTTCTGAACTCATTAGGAGGAAAGTAACAAGCTTGTTTCAAAAGGCTTACCCAAACTGTTGGGTAGTCAGCACTTCTCCCCTTTCTTCCTTCTGCATCTGCATCGCCTTCTTCCTTTCAATATTTGCCAACGTAGGAAAATTTCTAGAAAAAAAAAAAATTCACTGGCTTTTAAATGATTCACTGTACTTTGTCAATTCACCCTTTACCAAACCAGCACCCTCTAGAAATGTAATAGATTTTTAAAAAACGTAATAGATTTTTAAAATGTTTCATGGAAGTTTAACAGACTGTTTCCTTCTTAAAAAGGCAAGAAACCTGAGTGCGTTTATGCTTACATACTCAGATTTAAGGGAAAAAAAAAAAAAAAATCTACCAAATTGGCATGATTAGATTTACCAAACCATCAAATAAGCTACAGACAAACAGTTTAGTCATGCTTATGGACCCTCTGCCTGTCCCTACACATAACAGCATGATTTAGTCCTGCAATTTTATTTTTATGGTACTTCAATTGGAGTATTTGAAGGACCTTAGAAGGTACAACATGCCTTTAGCAAACCAACTGCTGAGTTCTTGTAATATCAAAAAAAAAAAAAAGGTTATAAGAACAGCTTCTGGGTGCACAAGATTCATTTGATGTGATAGTTAAGGAGAAGTACACAAGTTTCCTCTCAAGCAATATTCAGTACTGTGCTTGCATACTGACCTCTACTTCACCAAAATTACTGCCCCTTTTTTCTTCCAGCTTCCAAGAAAAATTGCTAAGTCATGCAGATCAAAACACATCTACTGTTACAACCATCTCCCAAAG